AGAAGAAGAAGAAGAAGAAGAAGAAGAAGAAGAAGAAGTAGTAGTAGTAGTAGTAGTAGTAGTAGTAGTAGTGGCATTTATAACCTGCCTTTCTGTCTGTCAGGCACGTTTCCACTCTTCCCTCCCAACCCTGAAGAGGAGAAACCAAGCCCTTGAGCCCCTGCTCTGGTTAATTAAAATTCTGCAGAAGTTAACTCAGTTAGTGGCTCTTCATCCAAGTTGGATAGGAAAGTGAGAGACAAGCAGCAGCAGTGGGAACCCTTCTGCAGTGAGCCACAGGGTTATTTTAATCTCCACCTACTTTTGCATACCCAAACTGTAGTCTACTGACTACAGATTCTGAAAGAGAATATTGTTCTGATCTTTCCAGGTGTGAACCTTTTAAATGACCCACGGAAACATTTTTTCTTTTAAATAAAAAGTCAGTCCTGAAAAATGAAGGCGTCTTCTTTAGCCCGTTCTGGGCCACAGCCTTCTTGAACATATTCTTCATTCATTCTCTGTTCAAAAGGAAGACTTTCCCACACCAAATGTATTTATTTTAAAGTTTTATACGGCCGCCCATCTCGTAAAACACGACTCTGGGTGGGCTCACAATAATAAAACCACAATAGGAAAAACGTGAAAACCAAGGGGAAAAACTCTAAGTGGCTGATCCCCAAGTTCCAACTTTAATCTCTACCAAAAGTTCCCAAGCTTGAGAAACACTGATCTGTACAATTCCAGGCTCCAACCTTACTATCTCAGGCCCTTTTTACAAAATTTACTAAATACAAAAATAGTTTGTATTTAAAAAGGGCCGTTGCAGGAGATGTTGGAAAGAATAAGCTACATGAAAGAGCCTCTATTTAGAAAGAGTCATTCATGCTTGTGGATTTACCTTAATTATCATTGACTGATTGATTGATTGCAACCTGGCATTCTCATAATTGAAAACCTTCATCCCGCACTGTCCTGTTGAGAAATTGGATTTTTCTCACTTGAGGACCGCTCAGATGGTTAATTTTTTCTAAATGGCTTGGATGGAAAAACAAAATGCAGCTTTTATCCCTAGAGATTGGGACGTGTTTTTTTTTTAATGCAATCTTTGTCTTTGGCCACGGATCCTGTTGACAATTGGGTGAGTTCTGCAAACAGTGAAACAGCAGCCTCTAGTGACTGGAAACAAGAGTTAGAACAACCCACTTACCCAAAAGGAAAAAAAAAAAGACATTTGCTATACCTTCCAAGTTTGGTGTGTGTATTTCAAACCAAATCCCAACCAGGGAACAACACTGACAGCAACTTTAAGACGGCTGGGGCTCTCCTCTCCCACACCTCCTTCCCCCCCCCCCCCCGGCCGGGGGGGGG